CATTTACAAGTATTAGCATTAATCGAATAAGATGACTAATGTAATCATGTTAACAATTTATAATCTGATTAGAATCTTCTTTGTATGTGGTTTCTAATTGAATAATAAGATTTTATAGTATACTTGTTTGACATACCATTAGTGGATCCTCTAACCTTAACATTTGTTTTTATCATTGTCTAATCCTTACGTTGATCTTTCATCTTAAAGTTCTCATCAACTTCTTCTTCTTCTTTATTACTACTACTACTACTACTACTTCTATTAATATTATTGTTGTTCTTGTTGTTATTATTATTATCTATAATTTATATAATTAACCTTTTTATGGTTAGACGTCGGTCTTACTAGGTTATTTATTATTTCGATATTCTTGTATTTGGGAGAAAACATCAATTTTTTTTATCATATCAGTTAGGCACACAACCATGCCCAATAATAATTAGATCTTGCTAGCACTAGATCGATCTAAGGTGCCTGAGCTTGTCAAACTGCCAAGCTCAATCATAGCTAAATTTTGTTAACACTGTTAGCATTAAACTAAAGATGCTTGAAACCCTCCACTTTGAGCATGCTTATTTCCTTAAATGTGATAAAAAAAAGACACATCATAAATGTGATTTATCAATTAGCATGCGGAAGCATTGCGTCTTGGTACTTTCATATCCTCTCGTGAATAGATGTTGACGGGGGTTAATGGCAGAGGAGTTGCTCAAGTGGTCTCCTTCCTAGGTGACATTTTTTTTGAAGTTGGCCTTGGTTATGAAAGAGTTCCCTGCAATCGTTAACCTAGTGGGACAAAATTAAGTATGTTGTTCAAATGGAGGTACTTTCTGACATGATCAATAAGGGGACCTGACGAGCCCAAGCAGCCTTAGAGCTTAGGTTATTAAATGAAGTCTCGAAGTTGATTCAGTGCTTGCGTTGTAGTAAATCATTTTTCAAAATCTATTTTTATTTAGTTACATGGTAATTAAAACTTCATTCTCTCTTTTTATTTTGGGAAAATCTTAATCTAGCTCCTATTATATTATCTCACTATCGCTATCATTATCAATTAAGATCCCAATTTTTTCATAATATGCTAAAGGAAGTTCTAATATGCCTTAAGAAACAACTTTAGCATCAAATCATAGTAATTTTTTCTTTCATAATTTTTTTTTCTTTATTTGACTTAGCTCTAGGTTTAAATCAACAGTCACTCGTAGTAGCTGTATTAAAGAGCCACCCACCGTTCTATTAATTTTTAAAAATAGTTTATTCTTTGTCAGTCATTTTCTTAATGTTTAGTTCTTTCGTCTTCCTTTATTACAGAAACTAACCAAAATGTTTTTATATTTTGTAAACTTTAATTCCCCCTCCCCAAAGTTATAGATTGTGAAATCTGAAAAAAAAAAACTTTTTCACATTATTCTTTTTAAGATAAATATAAAAATTTGTTTTAAAGGCAAATTGCTTAAAAAAAGAGTATTAAAAATAAAATAAATGTGAAAGTTATTAAGAAAATAAAAATATAAATCCAGAGTCACTAAAGTATTTTAATAATATTCAATAAAAAAATCATAAGATATAAAAAAATAAAAATTCAAATGCACTTCAGATTGAATTAATAAAAAAATTCATACATTTATTTAATTTTATTCTAGAAAAATAAAAACAAAATTTCAATATATTTGTTTTTATAACTCAAATAAATTGATCATAATAGTATGTACAAAAACTGGATATATGATAATTTTATAGATTGAAAAGGAAAGTAAAAAAATTACTTTGTTTCAAATAAAATAAAATTATCATATTTAGCATTTTGATTCTTTATTTTATTTATATATATAATTTTTTGAATTTTAAGTGAAAATGATGTCAAATAATCAACTCAACCCAATAGTTTCAATTGTTAGATAAAATCTTCAAGATATAATTTATATTATTTTCTAACATACTCTCTCAATTAAAAGCCTTTTAAACTTTAAATTTGAAAGACTTATATTATCTTATGCAATTGTTTGGTTATCATGATTTTGATACTATGTTAAATAACCAACTTAACCTAATAATTTAAACTGTTAGGTGAAATCTTAAAATATAATTTATTTTATTATATAAAAAATAAGTTATTTAATGATTTTAATGGTTGAATAGTTTAAAAAGTGTAAGTGTTTTTTTTTCCTGGCCTTTAGTTATTGATTAAAATTCAAATTAATTATATTTTCATGATTTTTTTTAATGGTGGATTTGCTTTAAAATATAGGACTTTGTTTGTGTGCGCGACGTCCTTGGAGACTTAATTTATACGTTAATCCTTGAACATATCAAGGGTACTCTATGTGTCTAAGAAAACACTACATGAAAATTTTTTATATAGTTTCATCTCGAGCAAAAATGAGCTAAGAACTCTGCAAGCAGAAAAAGAAAAAGAAGTCATAATATAAGGATACGAGGAACTAAATGTTCGATAAAGAAATACCATAATGCTAGTGCAATGAAATACAGTAGAATTTGTGTAAACTTGATTTCAACAGATTTTCTACTGCTCAAGATACATATAAATCTAAACTGGGAAAATTAAGAAAATGGTATGGTTTCAATTTCCAGTGCCTTTTGTCCTCTTTTGGTCTACATGATTCACGTCTAAAACCTGCTTAGATCAGCATAGTACTTATTAATCCACTCTTTAATGATCTTGATCTCTGTCTTTCGCTGTGCAACCAACCATTCAGGATCAGTTTCCTTAGCAAAAAGTATATCCAAGCAATGAGACCCTGCAATTAATGTAATTAAACAATCTTGTACTGTTAATTTCTATGAACTTCATTCTAAAAATTTATCTCTTTTCAATTGATAGGGCTAGCCAGCCACATATTGATCCTATGATCATATTTTATTCTTGCTTTTCAAAGTATACTTACCATTGACGGTCTTGACAGCAACAACAGTGTCTGAAATGTTCTCCAACACCCTAGAAATTGAGATGATAGAACATGTTAAACTTGGACCGGTGATTGTAATAACATCCCATGCCTCGAAATCATTGTGTCTTTTCCCAAATTTGCTTGTTACTTACCCTCCACTACTATAAGGATCTCTCAGCCCATTGGAGAAAATGATATTGCTAGCAAACCTTTGAAGAATCAATCTTATACTCTACATTTAAAAGAAAACAAGTAAAGAATGATTTAAAATTTGGGGTAGAATGAACAAAAAAAAAAAAGTGTAAAAATTCCACGAGTTGAGCTACAGAAACTAAAGGAAACTTACATGGCCTCCGTAATAAGTAGTGACCCAGTGAAAACGAGGTGTAACATTGTATAAACTCTTGCAATCTTCTATGTAGGCTTTCAAATCGAAAGGATCAGGTGGAAACATGGAGTCATTGCCATAACCAATAGGTATCACCATCTCACTACACGTCTAAACACAAAATTTAATTTGTCAAATTAAAGTTTTTAAGTCTTAATAAGTTAATTTGAGAGATTTTATATCATTCTATTGAAGGTATATACAAAGATAAAATTTAAGATTTAAAAATTTTATTTTCAAATTTCAAAAAACTTATTGAAAGTTAATTTTTTTATATCAATGCTTATTCCCCCCCCCCCCCAAAAGTGGCCACAAGTGTGAGACTATGATTGGCCACAACCACCTCTAAACTATTTGAAATTTTCATATGTATCCAAGGTTTTATGCCTCGAAACCTAAGAAATTCCATTTACATCCCCTCGATTTTTTATCCATTTGTGCCTAAAGCTCTTCGGCTTCCTCAGCCCCCCAAGTATTCTTACTGTAGTTTGTCACCGGAAATATATATTGGTAGTCATTATTAATTATAGTAGTATAAAATTTCCTACTTAATTCAGTTATTGTAATCCAATTTCCCGTTGAATCTTTCTTGTAATGCACGTTTAACTTACATAATGACAATTATTTTTTTAAGGCTTAATCAATAGTTTCTGATCACTTATTTCCTTACCAGCATCGCCAAACTTAATATAAGAATCACCATATAGTGTTGCTTTAAGAACCATTCAAAGATCCATATATTAATGAGTTGTTTCAGTCAAATAGAGAGTTGTTAGTGGATCAATTATTATTGCTGCTGTTGTTTACAATGATCATGACCCATTCTTATCTTTATATGATAATTGCATACCTGACTTATCCAAGCCAAAAGGTAGGGCTGCGCGCGTGCGTGTTGAGTGTGAACTATATATATATATGTCCCATCTTCATCTTAACAGCTATCGTGAAGTATGTAAGGAGTAATAATGTATATACTGTACCTGCCATCTCCAGCCCGCAGATGTTTCAGATTGGTTAGTGGGTTCATTGACGTAGCATGACCTATTTCCTTTATAAGCAACAAGACCACCAAATACTCTGCCAAGAAGATCATCCCCAAAACCACCGCCATCTATGCCCCCACAGACCTTGTTAACCGGATATGTTGGTGGCTTATTGTACTGAGCAGCATTAGCATACATGGAGTCCAGGTGGTTCCTGAGCTCACTGGCGTCTGTCAAGGGACTGCATCAACGATGTTTACCAAGGTTTTTAGCATGTAAAATTTCATTGAATATTAATTAACTTTAACAAGCTTTTAATTAGAAAGAGTAACTATTATTACTTGCAAGTCTTAAATTTCTTGCTGAGGATTGAGAGACCATCTGGTTTAGAAGCAACTTCATCAATTTCTTCCCATGACTTTCGTATAGTCTGGTAGCAAGTCTCACTGGCTCCCTGCACACCCAACACCACATATTTAACATTTTATTAAAACATTATTCATCTTCTATACTACTAATTAATTAGAGAAATTAAACTAAATTAAAGATGAAAACTCAAAATGTATTACTCTAAAATCCTTGCTGACAAGAGCATAGTATCCATATTGTGGCGTAATATCATCAAAATAAAGAACCGGTGCTGAAGAGGCAAGAGCTCCAAGGGCTATATGAGGGTATTTAAGCCGAAACCATGAAGCCAGCACTAGTTAACATGGAAAAAAATTTAAGGAGTTAAATAATAATGATGATGATAAAAAATAATAAATAAATCAAAGTATTCTTCAATATTAATTGCTGTGGTATTCTTGGAGAATATAGTACGTAGCCACCTACTTCCACCATATGATCCTCCAATGACGATAACCGGAGAATCTTTAGCCTGTAATGTTTTCTTTATGTGAATGATTATTGCTGCATAGTCTGCTATAGCTTGAGCTGAGTTGAAATATCCTAGCGTGCTTGCATTCTTCAAGGCTTCTTCCCTTGATCCAAATGGAATTGATTTTCCATAATATCTATGCTGATATCATGACATTAATGTATAAAAATCTTTATTATAACCAATTATTAAGCCTATTTCTATGAACCAGAAACAACATTTATAAGTGAAAAGAATATATCCGTACCTCAACATATACCAAGAGAGAACTGAATTCAGCAGCGGTATCAACCAGAAATCCAATTACATCAAGATCTTCATCAATGGGTGCTTCTGCGCCAAGGTATACTAAGATTGGTGCACAAGCATTGGCACCACCCCAATACTTAGAATTGATCAAATAACGTTGTAGAAATGTGTCATAGCTTTCAGGTCTATAGTTGAAGTGATCAAGTGTTTGGTTGTAAAAAAAGGTTTCAAGATCTTCTCGAACAGATTCACCCAAAATTTGATCAGGGTGGTCTAGCCAAACTCTCGGTCCTATTGGACTAAGTCTTGGAATAGTATGAAGCCGTTTTGCAGTTGCGGTTGCAGTGGTTAAGAAAAACAGTAAGAGAAGTTGAAGAAGAAATAGGCTTTGAAACACCATGGCACGATGCATTTGTATGGCGAGTTTGCTAGGTTTTTTGTTGAGGTTTCTTAGGTGATTTAAAGCTTGTAACAGGGACATCCTTAAAAAATAAAATCCCATTTACTTTGAGACAACTTTAGACTTATTACACGCTCATGCTTTATTGCACTCATGGATCACAATAATTGCAATGATTAAGCTTTGAAGCTTCCACAAAATGTTTCATAATGCTAATTTTAATGACAATCCAGGCTTTCTCAATTCAACAAACCCAATTATAAAATATAAGAACACTTATCTACACGGCTAACCACGTTTCAAACCATGATTGGGCATAAAAAAATATCTTCCGTAGTTTAAAACGTTGTTGACCACGTAGACAAACACAATAATCATATCAAAACGGATATAATTTATTGATTTTCTTCGGTGTCGTAATTATACTACCAATGAACTACCATTTCTTTAGCTAGTATATAATGAACAAGAGATATTGTATTGTGTAATTCAAGATTCAACACAACAAATTAACAAATGGAAATAAAAATATTTATAGAAAATTTCTATCCATATATTGTGATAATATTTACCGATATAATTTTCAATTCTTGTATTTATTTGTAAATACTGACAAAAAAAAATATATTGAGGGAATGACGAAGGGTATTACAGTAAGATTAAAAAAACAAATTTTACGATAACATGATATTTTTATCAATAAAATGACCAATAGAGTTATTGACAAAATAATTCTATCAGTAATGTTATCAGTGATATTTAATTTATAACCTGATGATCAATCATTCTCTTTCCTTTTTTCATTTCTTTTTGGTCTTTCAATTTTTTTTTTACAATAGACAGCCACCCCTTCGTTCCAATCTCAGTACAATTCAACCTCTCATAGCAAATATGGCCACCAAAACACTCAGTTTGTCAGCATCTATGTTCTAATTCAAATTTTATTAAGAATTCTTCACTTTATTTGTCAGCATCTATGTTCTGATTCAAATTTTATTAAGAATTCTTCACTTTAAGTAAGCAAATCTATCTTTTTTTATTTGAACTTGATTTTTAAATATTGATTTTTTTGCATATTTTTTGTAGTATATGTATTTTGTTTGAGTGTTTACTTGTTTTATAGTTTTTTCTCATATAAATTTGTTGTATGGATTTATGATTTGTATATTTTAGGGTTTCTTTTAGATTTTATGAAATTATATTTGCTTATAAATTCATGAAACTTATGCCAAATTGTTTACTTGGGTATTTTGATGTAAAATAAATAATGGTTTATTTAACGAATTTATTTTATATTTTATCAATTTTATTGCCAAGTTGAAATTTTTGATAAATGTATAGAAATTTGAATTTACATAGATAATTGATAATGAATTAAGAGTACTATTAAATTAGATTGAATAAGTTTGAGATAAATCAATATTTTTACAAATTAATTAGTTAACGTAGTTAATCAATACATATTGCCATAATAAATGTATAGAGATTCACTTCAAGGGTTGTGGAGGATAGATTATTATAATGAGATCTAGAGTTTTATTAATTATGTACTATCTAGTCTGAAAAATATTAGTAAATGGGGTATTAGATGTTTATGCAATAAGTGTAAAAATAAAAAGTTTATTGTTACAGATGTTGTAATGATGCACCATGGAGAAATACCTGTGTTAGTATACACACGAAGAATCATATATTCCTCACAATACCATGGTAGAAATGATGGTTGTGTTAACTTTTAGTTCTAGCAACATGCATGAAGTTATAAATGACAATAATAATTCTTATAGGAATATTGTTGTAGATGTGATAAGAATGAATCAAGGTCATGTCGATCAATTTTTAATCATGGATGAAAAACCTAATGCAAAAACAACTAGTTTTTTTTATCTTTTAAAAGATTCTGACAAACTATTATGGGATGATTATACAAATCACAGTAAATTATCAGTTGTTATATAGGTGTTCAACATCAAGTTAGATCATGGATTAAATGAGATCAATTATGACAAAATTGTTAACTAGGCGAAAAACATTTTACTTAAAAGGAACATGCTGAAAGGAGAAGTTTTATGCTGCCAAGTCCATGATGAAATTTCTCGATCTAGAATACCAGAAAATTAACATATGTACAAACTTCTGCATGTTATACTGCTTTGAAAATGTAAATTTAACCAAGTGCAAAACATGTAGGCATTCTTGTTATAAACACATGACTGACAGGGTAAGGACTTTTGTCATATACAAAAAACTTAAATACTTTCTAATCACATCTAGATTGTAGAAGTTATTCATGTCACCAAAGATTATTGACCATATAACATAGCACCAATCACATGATATAGTGGATGATTAATACTTAAAAGTGCATTTTTATCTGGGTTTTATACCATCATTTTACACTTAAAGTATCAATAACTCTTTAACTAGATCATGTTTTATAATAACAAGTCTAATAATATAAGATAACTTTAATTTATGGTAAATGCTCATTTTAAATGCAGGCATATCTCACAATTCAAATGATTGATTGATGTAATTAACTATTGAAAGTAAATGAACAAAGAAAAGGCTAAGCTTAGAAAAGAGATGCTGATTCAATTCAAATCAAACTAGAACACTGTTCAAGTATTGGATTATATTTAGAGCTGTAGATCTTGGATTTCGCATTGGATTATATTTAGAGGTGTAGATCTTGGATTTCAATTTGGTTTATATGGCTAGAAAGGTAAGGTATAGGCCTAAAACATTCATGAAAAGTCCAAGACTCAATTTTGTCGTTTGGAAGTCCAAATCTTAACATAAAAAATAAGTTTGAATATGTCCTGCAGCCTAAAACTTTTCAGTGTTCAACCCATATCTCGAGTTCTAGATGTCTGAATGCACCAATTTGTTTTTTATTGGAAAGTTAAGATAATTTCTCTTGAATGCACCAATTTTTTTTTATTGGAAAGTTAAGATAATTTCTCAGAACTTTTATGAAGACTATCTGTTTAAATTCTGATGTTATCAATGACGTTTTATTTAAACAAGAAGATAAATATTATCACAAAGTCAAGAGGTGGCCACCCACTCAACAATTAGTCATCAAATCAATAGTTTCAAATTTTAGCCTATAAAAAGAGGCATTTGTCATGCATTTAAGTATTTTGGTTTTCAGATCAAGATCATGCTTTTTATTTCTTAATTTCTTGTTATATTTTGGTTTTCAGATCAAGATCAAGTTTTATTTCGTGTTATATTTTTCTTAATCTCTTATTTATGCTTTTCATTTCCTTTCCTTTACTTAATTAACTTATATCACTTTTATGTTATTATCTTGTTTATTTATGTTTTTCTCTTCCATTATTTTTAATTAAGTTTATTATGTCAAGGTGAAAATGTTTCACTAATGGTGTTAGGATAAGTATAATATAAACTCAATATGGACTTTAATGATTATATCCTAAACAAGTTGTTATTAACATGTTTTATCATTTTTATCTTTTTAATTCTTAATACCTTACTTGTTAAATGTTTAATCTAGATTTGTGTTATATAACACTTGGTACAACAAATGTTTTGCACTTTCATAGCCAACCGTATGGTATAACCTATACCTGTGCTATGAAAGGAACTTGATTTATTGTTAACATAAATTAGCATTTATGAATTACTGATAATATTTAAAAGTTTAGTGTTACTTAAATAAGATAATTAATATGATTATGTTAACAATTTATAATAAGCTATTAATGACAAATCATCCAATTGGAACCTCATTTGTATGTGGTTCCAGTTGAGTAATAAAATTTTTGTTATGACGTATAACGTTAACTTTCTTAGATTGGGATTTTTTTTTCTTTTTTTTCTTTTTTAATATATATACATATAACTTAAAATATAATGCATCTTTAACCTATATAACGAGCTTTAGGCTGATGACTCTCGGACCAGTTAGTCTTAGGGCATTAAGTATTGAGACATCTCTTCGAGCTTAGTAACTCAAGTAGCAGATATTGATACATAGATAGTGCAATTTTTTATTTTTTTAGTAACTCGAGTAGCAGATACTGATACATAGATAGTGCAATTTTTGATTCCCTTAAGCTTTTACTCCTGCACTTGGGAGAAGACATCAACCTTTTAGTCGTGTCAACTAGACCAATAGCTCCTAAGTCAGTTGACTTTAGGATATTAGGTGTTAAAAAACCCCTTCGGGTTTAATTGCTTAGGTTAGGGAGGCTACAAAACCAAATTTATCTATGTTTTTATTATCATCAATATTCTCAATTTGTTTTTTTTTTCTTTTTAACAAATTATATACTATCTATTTTTCTTAGTTGTTACCTTTAACAAAAGAATATAAATAATATAATAATCTAATATGCAACTCATAATCATATGTTGAAGTGCGTGTGTGTGTGAAAATAAAGGTTTAAGAATACTTGTTAAATGAGTATATAAGCAAAATCAATTGATAATAATACAAGAGTTTATAAACTTGAATATTTCAAGAAATAATCTAGTAGACCTTGTTAAGAATATTTACTAAGATACGTTTCAAGAGTCACTTTAACAAAAGAACTCATTTACTCTGTTATCTTAGTAACAATAGTTTTGCAAAAGATTTATGAAATAGAAAACACAGTTAGTTTTTTTTTTCAACTACTACTTTTTCCCTTCAACAAAAACGAGACATTGTCCTCAATGTCTTAAGGCAAAAACATAGAGTATAGAAGACATCCCCTGAAACAGCAACTATTGACAAACTTGAAACACATTTAAACAAATAAATAATAAAAACAAATATTATGCTATTAATAAAACCAAAAGACACAAGATTTCACAAACAAAGGCTCAAATCTAATCTAAGCTTTTTACGACTTTCAATAGTTGACCAATTTATACGACTCATGGAATGATCAATTACAAGGATGAAAGATTGTAGCTAGTTAATCAATTATTTAGCAGTAGCAGTAGAGATTATAATTTGTCGTGCCGAAGATGTGAGAAATTTCTGTTCCAAAGCTTGATAAAGAAAAGATAACAAATTATCATAAAAACCATTAACATTTAACAGACCTATAGGTTTATGATAAATGTGTAGTTGCGACCAAGAGAAAATATAAAAGATCTCTTTCAATGTGTCCAGACAA